TATAAACTAGCTATTGCTTTACCCATACCTGTATGGTATTGAAAAAAATTAATAAAACTTGTTACTTTTTTAATTTACTTTGTTTTTGATTAAAAAAATGTTATAATTAAACAAAAGAGCTCGGCTATGTATATTAAATTCTATTTAAACGTATATTTACTTACACTTGACAGCCCTGAATAGGTTTAACAAGAATGTCTTGAACTCGCGACGCGGCTGCGGTCTTTAACCTACATAGAGACTTACATGTTATAGTATTATTAAATTTAGTGCAAATTCAATATAAGCTATTCTACTTTCCTCAATATGATACTGATCTTGTATCGTTAATCGCATTTACTGGATGTATATGATTTGCACTACAAACTTTTTTTTGGGTCATCTCATATAATTTTTCGTTATTTTACTAGGATCTACTGATCTACATACATGTATTGCATGTATTCAGCACTTTTTAACGTCCCACTGCTGGGCACGGGCCTCCCTTCAATACGAGGGGGATCAGGCTATAGTCTACCAGGCTGGCCAAGTGCGTGTTGGCAGACTTCACAAGTCTTTCGAAAACTTGCTAGGTTCTCTCAGACATGCAGGTTTTCTCACGATGTTTTCCTTCTCCGTAAGGCAAGTGGTAATCATGTTAGAAATGATTCGCACATGAAAATATCGGAGGGTGCGAGACCCGGGATTTGAACCCACTTCACTCCGTTTCCCAAGCGAGCGCGTTACCACTGGGCTACCACTGCCTTTTATTATTATTTTATTGCCGCTGATCTACATATGACTGTAACTATAAAGAACATAGAACAAAGCGTTATTTACGTTCAGGAAATAGAAGGGCTTTCATGGGACTTAAGCAAGTATGATATTTTGCCATAAGAATAGATATATGTATTGATTTATTGACGAAAAAAATATTTAAGCGGACGAAACCATCGTTAATAACTATTGGGAAAGTGACACCAATTATAAACCCTGAAGACACTGTATATACTACATAGTGTACATAAACCTTTCACTAAATGGACGCTATATTGACTCAGGTGGCGTCTGAAACTGATAGGGTAATCCTAATCTCACTTCGACGAGATGTAAACAACTTGTTGGTGCCAAGTAATAGGTTTGTAGGTAAAGAAAATGGATAAGAATTACCTATTTATTATATATTTTAGCTAATCTATATCATTTTAGAGATTTTTGTTTTTTTGATATTCATAATGTCACTAGCTATTTTTAATTTGATGTTCTAATTGAAGAGAATAAATTTTTGCTCCATTGGAGTGAATCTTTAAGTAGCTTTTGTATTTATAATATTACTAGCGGCTCACCCTTGCTTCGCTCAGGTTTGCCTCTAGAAAAGTGAATACTAATCTATCCCACGGGAACCTTACATTTTTCCGGGATAAAAAGTAGTATAATGAACAAACAACTCCGTGTTTCGACAAATTTTATTACTAACAGAGACATATGTGTTTCTTCATAGCGTGGAGAAGTAGCAGACATACTTATGATTATTGTTCAAATATTTATTCTTTAGGGAATAAGTTTTTCTACAAGTACTAGTATAGTATTATATGATCTGTTCTACAAGCTTTAATTGAAGGAGAAAGTAACAGGTGTATATATTTTACGAGTTCACTTGGTTTTTGTATTAAGCAAATGAAAGAAAGACTCAAAATGCATAACAAGTTCATGAAAACTATTAGCATAACGGCTAGAATTTTAAATGAATGACATTTGCTATGCAGATTGCGCTGAGGTATGGCATGTTAAAATGTCACTGTCTATCTATACATCTAAACATATAATAAAATTGTAACTAAGCCAAATCTGTACATTAGATATTTTTTGGAAAATCTTATTGATTTTTTTTTAATATCGATACAGAGGCCAAATCTATGGTTTTTTGAATTTTTGTCTGTCTATCTGTCTGTCTGTCTGTTACCGCATCACACAAAAACCACTGGAGGGATTTTGATGAAATTTGGTATGGTAATAGCTGGTTATCCGGGTCAACATATAGTATACTTTTTACCGCGGGATAATATCTCATTTCTGAGAAAAAATACAAAAACTGCATTGTAAGAGTATACTAATATGTAAAACCTAAGAATTTGGTTTTTAGTAAGCTGAACGTGGACGGAGCCGCAGGCAATGCTAGTATACAATAAATGGCTGGAATTATGGGTTCCAGGATTCGATTCCTGTGTAGTCGCAAAAGACCTATTTGATTTTTAACTTCCGACAAAATTGGGAGCTATAACTTTAACATGTGTGTTGTGTATCTGTTTGTAGCGTCATATCGCTCAAATAGATAAACCGATTTTAATTTTTTTTGTTTGAAAGATGACTTCATCGGAAGTGTTCTTAGCTGTAAATTAAGAAAACCCAATCAGCAATTTTTATGTTATCAGCTCTTTTCTAGATGGTAAAAGGATATGTGCTACTTCCACAGATCGAATCGATCTGAAACTTGGTATCCCGTTACTGGACTGATATTGCAATGATATGGTAGCCTTGACGACATGACTGGCTCAGTTTATAGTGACCCTACTTGCTGTGCCAGAGGTTGCGGGTTCGAGTCCCGCTGGGGGCATTCATTTGTGTGATGAGCACGAATGTTTGTACTCCAGTCATGGGTGTTTATATTTATAATATGAATGTATTTAAAGTTATATATGTGTAGTGTATCAACTATCTGGTATCCATAATACAAGCCTCGTAGCTTACCATGGAACTAGATGGCGCTGTGTTAATGTCCCAACATATTTATTTATTTAACCTAGGCCTGATGGTACTTTCGCAAGCGATCCTGCGGTGTCCCTCTAAGGCGGGAGGAAGGGATGTCGGGTTTTAGTGGGTAGTACCGGATCTTCTAGCCGGTGAGCCCCACATCACCACCTGGGGGATCAGGTGGTATGCGTAAATGCATTTCCCGACAGTAAAAAAAAGGCCTGATGGTACTGCGTCACCTAGGATCTGCAAGATGCTCAACTCTTTCCTATAATACTACAGACATATCGTGTTTAGGCTTATTAAAATGGCCTCAATAAATAGATTATTATGTTGCGGATATTTTAAACTTCTAATTTAAGATTTATCTATCAAGTAAGTACGAGTACGATAATCCTTTAGAGAACATGTAAACCGTTGGTCATTCACCTGATTCTCTCCAGTTGTATCGGATTGCTTTGTTCCTAGTTTATGAACGTGAATATTATACGAGTATAAAGTGCATCTGCTTCTAACAGTGTACAGATGGGTAACCTCAATGATATGGCCGCCGGGGCCGAAAATCGGTCAGGAGGGCATTAGAATTATGCACATATGTATGTAGAAATTAGTTTATCCTATACAAACAGCTTACAGTGAGATCACAGTAACTCTTAATGTATGAAGACAACATGTATAGATCCATAGTAAAAATATTTTAGTCAGACTAGACTACGTAGATATGTAGGTACAATTTGATTTTCTGATCTAATAATTTTTTAGATTTACGCGAATATTTGATATCTATATACAGATAAATAAAATTGAAGTATCTATTTGTAATGTCAAAATAACAGCTTTTTACTAAATGCATATGGATGTATACACGGTACATATACGAAAACAACATTTTTTTTACAATTTTTGTCTGTCTGTCTGTTTGTTCCGGCTAATCTCTGGAATGGCTGGACCGATTTTGACGAAACTTTCACTGGCAGATAGGTGATATAATAAGGAATAACTTAGGCTACTTTTATTTTAGAACAAATATAGGGTCCCACGGAAAAAAATTAAAACTATTGAAAAATTTAATAATATCCGATTCAAATAGGGAAGTTGTACACATAATCTAAAGCCGTGCTCTAGTTTTAAATAAAACTATCTTTTTGGATTTTTTTCGCGGATTTATTTCGATAATCTGATAATCTTTACTATAATTAATATTATACTAAATACTTTGTTAATTTTAATAAGTCTCTCGCGTGACCATGATTGCCGTAAAGCATTCGAAACGTCTGGAACCAAAAATAAAAATAAATACGCGAAAAAGTCCGAAAAGATACTTTTATCTTCTGATCTAACATAAGGCAGTATTGTCACCCTGTATTGACAATCTATTAAATCGATCTAAAACATAACATTTTCATGTAGGCTTCATCGATAATTAACCAATTAAACATATATTTATCTACAATCTCCACTAAAGCTATTACAAATGATAAAACACAATACGCTACTTTGAATACCACGCAATTAGGTAAATTGATCATATTTTATCACAAAGGCCTTGTCTAGACCGACCGGCGACTCGGGATTTATAGGGTCTCTATAGACTCACCAGCTTTGACTGTCGCTAAATACAACGTGTATTTCATTATCCTATCATCGGTCTAAAGCTCTTTGTAACGTTTATGAATTGAATTTTCATATAAAAAAGTCTAAATTAAAATGTGCGATTCTTTCTGATTTTCAGTTATTGTTACTTAGACGTTAGCATTACCTTTAAAAAATATAACAATATATTTTTTTGACTGAATATTTTATCTAATTTAAAAGCATATTAAAATCTTATTATTTATAATATATGTATTATCAAAATACCATTACAAACGCAATCAAATTCGGTACAGCATCATTAACTACATGCCATATTATATTATGGTCATGATTTTACTACTTCATCAAAGAAATTGTCTTGTTTATGTTTGATCACGTATTATAAGAGAACAATTTGATGGATTTTGATTGTTAAATGCATAGTCTAAGTTAACTATAATAATAACTATTCCAGTAAGTTTATAGATCCAACTTGAAGTTGTTAACATCAACGAGTTCGACGAATCATTATGTGTCAACCAAAGTTATGAGCAAAAGCTTGTATAAAAATAAGATAGTAAAGATGAAATTTTATTTAGACAATTTGAAATTGAAAAGAATTTTCTGACCTAGATTTGCACGAATCGTATTTCGGCTAAAATACAATAAGATAAAAGAACTAAGCTAAAACTTACGTGCATAGGAGAAGGGCAACCCATCTGACCAGCGGAATTCGCCTTCGTGCACAGCATCTGTTGCTCCTATCCAGTATACATCGTCGATACCAGCTCCGGGCCTGCATACAAATATAAAAACATTAAGGTAAGTTCTATAAAAATATACATCAATCATATTTTTATTTTAATACTAGCGGCTTATTCTTACTTTACTCAGGGTGCGTCTCTAGGTATGTTTTAAATAGATAAATATAGTTATTGGGAGTGTACTTTAGGATATAGAAATATACTTTTCCAGATTTTTCTGTGGGCGTTTTTAAGAAGTATTATTCTCTAATACATTATTTTAATGCTTTCATTCCTAAAGATTTTAATGTATCCCTAAAGAAGATTAGAAGAAGAAAAAGTCTACCTATCACTACACAAAATTTAGTTAAAATCACTTCAGTACTTTTTACGTGCAATGTACACATATACAGATAAACAGACAAAAATTTCAATAACTATTGTTTTGGAGTCTATCTTCTGTACAGTAACACGTTACGGTTATTGTTTTAAAAAAATATTTTATGTAAAAATTTCGCTTTGTTATTACTTATACCAGTATGCACCTAAAGATATTGTTTTGAATACCAATATTACGTATATTTTTAGGAATATGTTATAATTCTGCTGGGTTTAGAACAAAAGTTTATCTAATATATGAATGCTTTTGTTCATCCACAACAATTGAATGAATTCAATTAAATTTGTATAAAGCTTTAATATGTTAGATTTGCATGTGTTATATTTAAATCCTAAATAAATTCTGATTTAAATTGACTTACCTTAACAAATTAAATTGTTTTAAAATAATTTTGAAATAAAAGCTTTATAATCTTCTACCTTTGTATTATAGTTATGTGGTCTTACATATAAATAAATTTATATTAATTAACTTATAGATAAATAGTGGTATAAAATAAGAAAAAGCTTACGCATGAATCAAAAGTTGGTCCATGATTTGTTGTTGCCGTTCATTTAACACACTTGCGAGATGACCACCAGTTCTTGTACATTCCAGCTCCGCCTGTCTCCATGTCTTCTTGTTTTCTCTCACTGCTGTTATACAAAAATCTCCAGATACCACCCATCCATACTCGCAATGCCCTATTACTTCTTCAATAGGTTTATCCATCCACCATACTTTTAACCACATAGCAGATGAATTTTTCTTCGCCAAAATACTTATATTTAACCTTACAGAATTTCTTTCGGAAATAATTTGTACACTCCGCAAAGGGTCACCAGGTTGAGAACAATGCTTCCACCTAGATTCTCCATCTATTAAATTCAGCTCCATGCCTTTGCAAAACGTGTGAACATCCTCATGAATAATATTGGAATTTTCTGAATATTTTTTACTCATAGACCCGGTGCCCATTTGAAGCCGCAATGCCACTCGATTGCCATAAGGCAAGTGAATTTTATAGGAACAGAATAATTTGATCGTTGGTCCGACTTCGAACGAGCCGTTTCTTCCCGTCAGCAGAACGTCATGACAATGGTCCACTAGGCGGTATGTCGCGGCGAACGTGGGTCGACCGTGGATTTCTATTTCTAGTTTACTTGACGTAGATAGATACAAATATCTTCTATTTGGTGCTGGTATTTGTTCCAGTTTGCCACATAGAATTGGCGAGTTTTGGGCAAATTTTAAAAACCCACTAGAGCATGGTACGTTTAATTTGTGGAGATCAACAAGATAAGCGTTTCTTGGGGATGGTACAGGGAAGAGCAGTCGGCAGCCGTGTGTCCGAGGTAGATACCCTGAGTGGACGCGACCTGTACGCGTAGCACGTACATGTATTGCACAATCTGAAACAAAAATGGATGACGGATAAAGGAATGTTCTAAACAATAATATAGTCATTCTGTAAATAAACCAAAAAAAAAATTAAGAATATCCTTTAATTATATTTAAGTTTTGCTCTCAATAATAAATATTTGAACAAAAATGTAGAGAAAAATTCTGTGAAAAACTAATAAGAAAGATTAAATTATTCTGAGAATATGAAAGAATTTAAAATGAAACTGTATTTTATAATTTAGTATATTTTTTTTCTTATATTATATGCATTTACTTTTGAAATAAAAATAATTAATTATTCAATAAAAAGGTACACCTACTTCACATTCACCTTAAAAGTAATTACTCTACCCTCAGATAAGGTTATTTTTTGAAAATCGTATGGAATCTTGAGGTATAATTAAGACCTGTTTATCATTTTAAGCACCCTCTTTCACCTCTCTCAATTCTCAATTTACACATATTATGTATGTTTTTTTTGTAGGTCCTTACAGAAAGAAACTTAAGTACAAATTCAGTACTTCATCTCTAATACTTTTATAGATTTACTCGAATATTTGATATTTAAAACAAAACTCGAACTTTTCGAATTTACACTTTACTTACGTTAACATTACAAAAAATATAATCTATACATACAATATTAAATTAAATTTATTTATTATTTTATTATATTAAAATATCTCATCTCTGAGCAATCTATACTAAACGTTAAAACGTAACTAAGGGCAAACCCGACCGGAGCGAGGGTGAATTGTTAGTACCTTTATAAAATTAGGAAAAAAACACCACGCAATATCTATTTCATTATTAAATTCACAATATTAGTATAGAATACACTAGCCTGTATTGCACCTTTGTCGGGCTTTTCTCAAAGCAGCGAGCTCTACGTCTTTATCCGAGACCACAGGTTTAATGACATTCCTTAAATATTAGAACGTCTACGATGTTAATTTGTATTCGATCAGCTGAAACACCTAGAGAATGGAGTGAGCAATGCTCTCATGAAATTGACCACTTTCTAGAAAGAGAGAAAACGAATGTGACCATAAAGCGTCGCTTAACGGAGCGCAGAACGTCCAGCATGCTCGAACATTGAAAAGAATTATCCCAACTTTTAATTTTATATGTTTCATCAACACAAAGTACAAAATATATCCGTACTAATATTATAAATTTGAAAGTGTGTTTGTTTGTCCGTCTTTCACGTCGAAACGGATTGACAGATTGGCGTGATTTTTTGTGTGAAAATAGTTGGAGGGCTGGAGTAACATAGGCTAATTTTTATCGAGGGGGAGATTATCTAATTCCCACGGGAAAACACGTTATAATACAATCCACAAAAAATATTTATGATTAGAATTACTTGAAACTTGGTATTAATGTTCTTCCATAAAATTAAATAAATACGTTTTTTAGCATTTTTCGAAATTTATCGTATAAGGGGGTTAAATAGGGGATGAAAGTTTGTATAAAACTACCCTTTTAGAGATTTTGTGCAGTTTTAGCGCAAGTGAAGCCGCGGGTTCTGCTAGTTTAATATAAATTATAATTTTGTACCCATGATCAGAGATCAAAATTACTTAAAATACATAACACCTCGAGTTAATGTCTCTAATGGCGACAAGATAGCTAAACTTTGGCATTTAAAATTCTTGCCACTACATGCCCTATCCCATTAATATTATAAATGCAAAGTTTGGATGGATGTTTGTTACTCAATTAAGATAACAGCTAAACGGATTTAATGAAATTTGGCACAGAGATAGATTATAGTCTGATATAGCACATAGGTTACTTTTATCCCAGAAAAAATACGGTTCCCGTGGGATAGATTTGTTTTTGTTTTTCTCTAGGAACCTGAGCTAAGCTAGGATGAATTGCTAGAAGTATAATATTTAAAATTGAATTTAAAATAACTTTCTTTTACATCCAGATCATGTATGAGAAATAGTGTTCTGTCTGAAAATATTAGGTATATAAAGTCTAATAGAATCGACGAACACACATGAGGTTCTTCCCTAGAGAGCCTTTTGTTTCGTTACTTAGCCTTCACTATTCCCACAACGGTCGTAACTTCTTAAAATCACGTTGTTACATAGAGAGTTAGTGTTATAAGAGTTATTAACACAAACTCCTGTCAAGCAAGCTTTTACACATTTTAATTTTTTTATGGCCAAATCAAGTGTAGTTCATTTTAAATTAAGTTTCACTATAAAAATAACAATAGACAAAGCAAGTGAAATGACAGCACAAAATGTATACTAATATTTTAAAAGCTGAAGATAGTACTTTTTTATTTTTCTTTTTAAATTTTTGTTTTGAACTAACACTTTAATTTGAAAAAAGTCTTTAATTCGTTTATTGATGTAGGTTATATTACCTAACCTCACATCACGTTTCGGATTCGAAGAACAGAGCGGGTACACACCCATAAATAAATTTCGTGAGCAGAGCCGCGAGCAAAATCTAGTAACAAATAAGTATTTCTAAATACGATAAGATTATTCTGTTGGGGGCTTAAAGCTTTTTTTGGTAGTCATTTTATCATCTGGAACAATATCGGCCGAAAACATGGCTTTGAAAAATCTAACAATAATAGGTTAAGCCTCCTTTCATCCTGTAAGTTCGACCTTGGCATATTGCACATCTCGAGTGCCGGATCTCGTGGTGACAAGCTAGATCTAAGCAATGGCTGCTTTCAAACTCCTCCAAATAAAAGCCCTTTACAATGCTACTCAAGAGTTCTTTACAAATCCTACTAATATTATAAACGTGAAAGTTTGTAAGAATGTATGGATGTATGTTTGTTCCTCTTTCACGCAAAAACTAGTGAATGGATTTTGATGAAACTTTACAATAATTATAGCTCATACATAAGAATAACACATAGACTACTTTTTATTCCCGAAAAATATACGGTTCCTCTGAGATAGATTTGTTTTTGTTAGACGCTAGTTGGAAATACATAATATGTTTATTTGAAAGCCGTCGAAGTACTGCATCGGCTTTACGGGGAAATTTAAACTAACTGGAGTAGATTACGTTAGATGACATGCGAAACCGTCCGATTCAAATTTAATACTACTCTTGCATACGTTCGAGAATATAGTGCTGGTTGTTACTCCAAAACAATAGATATTATGATGAAAATCTACGCAATGTATAGCCTATTTTGAGCCAGTGGTAGTCATGTGGTAACGTGCTTACTTGGGAAACCGAGTAAAGTGGGCCATAATATTTCAATTGCGAATCATTTCCAACATGATTACCAGTCTTACGATGAAAGAAAACATTGTGAGAAAACACGCATGTTTGAGAGAACGTAGCATGTTTTTGTCCACCAACCCGTACTTGGTCTACGTGGTGGACTATGCCCTGATCCCCCTCGTATTGAAGGGAGGCCCACCCCTAGCAGTGGGACGTTAAAAGGGCTGAATACATACATACATAGTCTATTTTATAGCGAAACAACGTTTATTGGCTTACCTGTATTTTTCCTTGCTTTGAAGTATCAGATTAATGTGATTAGTATAAATATAATATGTGGCTCTAAGATTGCCATAGAGTAAATTCTATCCCAGTACTTCAAATATCACACTTAGAAATTATTAGATTGTCAAAATTCTCATTCGTAATAATATTTATAGTTTATAATATACTTTCTTTTTCTATTTTATATAGCATTTTACTGAATTTATTGCATAAATTGGTGTTTATCATGAACGATAGAGTTCACGCAACATTCCATAAATTTCAACGAAAATATTGAACGTCTAACCTCACTGTAATAGAAGCATGTTCATATATATTTAATATTCTTATAATACTGTTTGTGCTGGCCTATATTTATTATTATTGTTTTAGTAATTTTAAAAGAAAGAAGTATTTAAAATGGATGTATACAGTAATACCTTCGTCAATTGCGAACTAATTTTCATTATATAAGTTTTTAAGGTTTCATGGTCACTGATAATATTTTAAGTTAAGTTCCTGATATTTGGGCACTGTTAATAATAATTTTGTTAATATTATATAAATTTGTTGGGACATTAACACACAGCGCCGACTAGTTCCATGGTAAGCTGGGACTCGAACCCGTAACCGCTGGCGCAGCAAGTAGGGTCACTACAAACTGAGCCAAACGTGTCGTCAAAATTGTTATTAGACTAAGGAGTATATTAGTATTCATTTTTGTTATTACAAATTTAATGAATTAAATGTTATAAGCCATGGCGTAAATAGCCTTTTTGGGCTCCAATGCAAAAAAAAGTACCTGTTGCCTATTACGAAAACGAATGTGGAGTGTCGAGCGTTAAACGAAAAGTCGGTTAGTCGGCAGTAGACACTTGAAAGCTGGGTTTTATTATTTAGAAGATCAATAAAATATAGTTCAATCTACTATCAAGATCCACGGTAGGGATTCGAAATTAAATTTAAAAAAAAGCAGCGTGAGTCCTGTCGCACTCTTATATACTTGAATATGTATATATGACAAACACAGTTTTTGAAATCCCCAATTTTTTAAACCACTCTCACGGAAGAACGGGTGGCGTAAGATTTAGTAAAAAAGCTGAGCTTGGAGGACCGTTCATCGTTTTATAGAACATAGGTACGATCACATTCCTCGTGGTCATCATATAAAATAATATTTGGAAATTTAGAGCACTTCTTTCTTGGGTTTTTTTAAAACTTGTATGAGGGCCGGCTTCAAAAAAAGGTTTTGAAATAAATAATCGTTTGAGGCCCGCTGGGGCCTCCTTGAATAAGGGGCCCCATGCGACCGCATTGGTTGCATTAGCATACTTCCCCACTGTTACAAGCTTCATGGTCACGGGTATACTAATATAAAGTAAGTAAACAACATGGTAAAAATCTCGTTTTATATCATACAAATGTTAACAGACGAGTAACGACTTATATTATGAAAATCAGTTCACAATCGGCAAAATTATGAGAACCATTTTTTAATGTTTTTTTCTTAATGTATATTATGTAAGACAAAAGC